CAATACAGGTTATATTATAGAGTAAAATTGTGTAATAGTAACACTAAAACATATGGATTTTTAACTCTGTTATATATTCACTGCGAAAAAATAAATATTAGCAAGCAAAAACATCCTAAATGTAGTCAACATATCTAATATTTCTTATTATAAGATTATTGTAGAACTAGATTATAAAGATTATTTAAAGATTATTTAGCTTATGCTTATACATTTTTACTTATTTTAAGACCTTTTATATTACAAAAGCATCTTTTTCCATTGGAAGATAATTTTTCAAGCATCATTTATCGAAATATTATTGATTAATCGTGACAGCCCTACACTCCACACAGAAACTCCACAATCTCTTCTTTCACCTTGCCAAAAAGACTGCAGCTCATACGTCAGCTCGCAAACCACCTCAATGAACTGAAGGACGTACGAGCGGCGGTTACTGTCACTGCAGATAAAGGAGACCCACTACACAGGATTATGGTAATAGGGACGGCAGTCAGTGGCCTGAGGTCAAGCATGAGGCTTACTGTCATGTGTGTATGTGTGCTGAGTGTTCCTGTAAAGCAGGATCAGACTGAATGGCAGGAACAGCGCATACTGGGTCTGAATGAGACCCCAGGAAAAGGCTGATTCAGTCACAGGAAGTCACTCGGCACTCGGCCAAAAGGAAAAATGGAAAAATGCTACGTCTGTAATAAACATGCTTTGGTCTCTAGACTCAGATTTACTGGTTTAAAGACAATAAAGGTTTAATGACCATGAAGGGGTTTCCCTTCTGATGATGTATCTTGAAGGTGGGAGGGACTTTTGATAAACTGCAAGCAATCTGGGGTGGATTTTTTGGGGCGTGGCCTGTTTGAAATGCTTTTTTTTCTGGCTAATGAGAAAAGAAGCCAGATAGCTCACATTACTGCTAGGAAGCTGAGCCTGTATTCATTAGCCTCTGCATCACTGGCTGTGACAGCAGTCAGGATTCATGCTGCTATATAGAAAACTGCATTACACGACAAATAACATGGTACAGGCAAGTTGTTAGGTGGTTGCTAAGGTGTTGCTTGGCATTGCTACAGTTTCCCAGGTGGTTGCTAAGACGTTACTAGGCCACTGCTATGCTATCCCAGGCAGTTACTAAGATGTTGGTAGGCCATTGCTATGCTATCCCAGGTGGTTGCTGAGATGTTGCTAAGCTATTTCTACGGTATCCCAGGTAATTGCTAAGAAGTTGCTAAGCAGTTGCTACAATTTCCCAGGTAGTTGCTAAGGTGTTGCTAAGCAGTTGCTATGGTTTGCTATCCCAGGTGGCTGAAGGTGTTGCTAAGCTGTTGCTATGCTATCCCAAGTGGTTGCTAAGGTGTTGGTATGCTGTTGCTATGCTATCCCAGGTGGTTGCTATGATGTTGCTAAGCTGTTCCTACAGTATCCCGGGTGGTTGCTAAGATGTTGCTAGGCCATTGCTTTGCTATCTTAGGTGGTTGCTAAGGTGTTCCTAGAATGTTGCTATCCCAGGTGGTTGCTAAGGTATTGCTAAGCAGTTGCTACGGCTTCCCAGGTGGTTGCTAAGATGCTGCTAGGCCATTGCTATGCCAATACCTGGTGGTTGCTCATGTGTTGCTAAGCTGTTGCTACGGTATCCCAGGCGGTTGCAGGTGTTGCGAGGCCATCGCTTTGCTAATCCCTGGTGGTGGTTGCTAAGGTGTTGCTAGGCATTTGCTATGCTATCCCAGGTGATTGCTAAGATGTTGCCAGGCTGTTCCTACTGTATCCCTGGTGGTTGCTAGGCCACTGCTATGCTATCCCAGGTGGTTGCGAAGGTGTTGCTAGGCCATTGCTATGCTATCCAAGGTGGTTGCTAAGGTGTTGCTAGGCTGTTTCTATGCTATCCCTAGCATAGAATGCTAAGAAGTAGATGTATAAGCATTATATATTTTATAAATGGAGTGACTCGGTTTCAGGATGTGGAGCATTCGCCTTTTCACTCCAGTGGAAAAAAAAATGTTTGAACAAACGCTGTACGCACACCGTAAGTTGAATCGGTTAAAAAAGCACAGCAGTCTATTCGGGTTTAGGCTCTACGATCCTGCAGAGGTTTGTGGTTCCAGCTCAAAAGCTGTAAGAGAAACAGTGTTACAACCTTTGACTGTGGAATAACACTGTAATAATAAGCCAGTGTAATAGCATCATATTACCACCCCCTTCCTCCAGTACTGGTATAACTGGTGGTATAACTGGTAAATCTGCTTTATCTGATAAACCTAACAAGGAAAAAAAGGCAAAAAAGGGAAGAAAGAGACAGAAAGAGGTTAAGACTCATGATTTGGTGCTGAAAGCTCTCTCCTTTCTCTCAGTCCTCTTTCCCTTCATCTCTGCTCCCTCAGGGAAATCGCTAATCAAATCACTGGCGATCTCTCTCTCTCTCTCTCTCTCGGCCCAGCTCCACACTGAGCACGCTCAGTCGCTCCCTCCACCACCTTATCACTGAGCTCTGTTTCTCGCTCATTACCGCCGCAGCCTGAGCTCAGCACACTGCGCACACGCACACAAACAGCCGGAGGGCCTCACACTCACTGCGGCCCAAATTTACATCCGAGCCAGAAAACAAACAGGAGCGTAAACGAATCAGTCAGACACAAAAAAACAACTCAGTAACAGCTAAAACAGAGCCGCTCTCGCAACTGAGTGTATCAGCCTCGTAATACTGAGTGGTATGTATGTGGAATGGCTTATAGTGATGCATGGGCGCCTCAGCAAGCCGGTCCAGAACAGCTCGCGATGGTACTGTACTGACGACAGCAGCGTCTTAAAACAGCATGCAAAACAGCACTTAAAGTGGCAAGAAATCAAATTTTTACATTTTCCCCTTTAGTCCAAATATACCAGATCAGCCAAGACACGTTTGGTGTCCAAAGCTGGTTTGTTTTTGCACTGGAAATATGATACTAATGTACAGAACTGTGAAAAAGTCAGAGACCACCTATTCTATTCAATTTTCCAGTCAAAACAGCCATGAGGTACATTTTATTCACTTTATTAACAGAAAATTACGCCTCGAACACTAAGTATATCAAATATATCAGCACTTAGTTTGTCCAGGCTTTTGCATTTGTGTCTCTACTGCTACTTAAACTCTTCCATCCTTCCAATCTTGGAACCAATGAGTTCCACCTGCATCCTCCCAACAAAAGCTGCTCCCAAAGATCTCAGTGGCCATTATTATCCCTTTCAAAGAGTCAGTATGACTGGCTTTACATGGTGAAAGTTTCAAGCAACTAGTTGCATGTTGTAAGTTGCCTGCAACATAATTTCTTCTTCAACACATCTTCTTCAATCTTTAAAAAAGATGGTTCTTCAAGGGTTCTTTTGTAAAGAAAATGGTTCTATATAGAACTATGAACACTCAAAGAACCCTTTGCATGATATAAGGGTTCTTTGCATCGTAAAAGTGTTCTTTAGATCAATGAAGAATGTGCTGTAGATGGTTCTATATAGCACCAAAAATAGTTCTATTGTTACAATGCTAAGCTTGTTACAAAAAACACATTTTTGGTGCTATACTGAACCCTTTTCAAATGGTTCTATAAAAATTATCTACAATACATTCTCCATCAACCCTTTCAAGATCCAAAGAACCCTTTATTCAATGAAGAGTTCTTTGAGTGTTCATGGTTCCGTATAGAACCATTTTCTTTATTAAAGAACCTTTAGAAAAAAACTTTTTTTTTAATGGGTTGTCTGTTGATCTGGTGAAATCAATGGTCAGAAAGTAGGCTGTTCACCATGATCACATTATTATCGTTAGCAGTGTTTTGATTGGCTGTTTCATTAAACTTGTTCCATGAAGTTGAAACGGTTGCAACTCTTGCAGCTAGGTTTCAAATGAGATGCAGGATGCTTTACGTTATGCAGCTGAAGTGCAACTTAGTAAGTTTCAAGAAACCGAAGTTGCATGAAAGTTCCACCATGTAAAGCCAGCCTAACACTCACACAAGCAACAACCCAACCCAAATGCAAAACCAGCTTCTAAGACTGAACTTCGGAGGTGTGTCTGCAGATTTCTTTGGAAAACTGAAAGTGAGTGTCCTGAAAAGAATGGAAGCTGGAATAAAGGTGAAGAGTGGACACATTAACCCCTTAACATTCCAGGCTTATTACATACTAAGGCTTATTATGCATCAACTACAGGGACTTCAATGCAAACAGATGAAGCTTTTCTTAGGTTATAGCTTAGGTTATAGAAGTGTGTAATAACACACTGGGCTCACTGGTTGGCCAACGGCTTGGTGAGGGGTTAAATACTGAAAATTTAGGATATTACAATTAGTAGTTAGGCTTCTGTGTAACTTATCACAGCTAAAAAATAACACTATAATGAAAACGTAATGGTCATTTTGTCTGGAAATTAAAGAAATGAGGGTCGTCTCTGACTTGTGCAGGTGGACCCTCAGCCCACCAATCAGCATCGACAGGCCTAAGTCAGCAGACAATAATCCCAAAACCATGTGGAGCTGTTCAGTGATCTCTTACAGACTTGTCTATAAATCTCTATCTATAAAACAGACATTTGTAAAACTATTGCTTTGACATTTTTTAGCAATTCCAGTTTCATCACAGGAGACTCACCATCATCAGAGCAGTAAATAAGCTGATGGAAAATGATGATGTTCTGCTGTCCGTTCAGAGTAAAAATGGCCCAATATATGATGCCCCCCAGCACTGGGCTGTGGATGAGTGGAACTGTTTTGTCTGGAGTGATGGAGCTCCATCCAATACCTTTGGATGAGTTGGAGTGATCCAGAACTGACCATCCAACATCAGTACCTGACCTCACTAATGCGCAATCAAATTCTCACAGCAATGTTCCAACATCTAGAGGTGTTCCCAGAAGAGTAAAAGCTGTTACTGCAGCACAAACTCACCATTAACACCCTTCATTTCAGAAGCAGCGCTGGTGTCTACAAACTTTTGGACACGCAGTGTGTATGCACTCGCTCACTCACTACACCCACCAGTATGTCCAGACAGGCAGCTTTCAGCAGAGTGATCTGGTCAGCGATGGTCAGTCCAGTGAAGCCAGGCACTCGTTTGGCAAACTCCACGATTTTGATAATGCACTTGGTGGCCAGCTCACTGAACTTGTCCCACAGCCCCAGGTCCAGACGCACGCGGTGGTCAGCACTCGAGTTCTGGAAGAGGAGAAAGCACACAGTCAGATAGAGGGATGGCAGTTTCACAGAGCTCTCAACCCATTTGGTTTATGTGTATAAAAGACCCTTTTCCACGGTCGTGGAGGTTCAGGGCTGGCACACCGGAACCCTCGTCTGATACGGCTTCGTCCACACTTTGGACGATTAACATCAATGATTCTCGTGTTCAGATTTGTTTATCCTTTTTTTGTTGTTTTGCATTTTCTAAATGATGGGCTCAGACTGTGGGTGGTGAAGTACTATGTGAAATTGTTATCATGTGCACTAAGGCTGAAAGAATTTGTGTTGTTTATGCAGAATTGTGCACTTTCACTTTCATTTGTTACGGTGTTTGGTACACCGTGCACACCCGCTGTTAGGGTTGCCAAGTCTATCCCGCCAAAAATTACTAAAATTACTAAAAAAATTAAAAAATTACTAAAATTACTAAGCTTCAGGTTCTGATGGACGGCTTTGAAGCAAACTTTGGGCTGGAGATTTCTGCTGGACCTGGCTGCCTTAGAGTAACTACTAACACAGCAATATCTGTGGGCTATTAAAATAAATACAAGTGTTAAGTGTGAGAGATGCTTAAAGTTAATAAAACTGAAAATTGTAGTGTATAATCTTCAGAGGTCGCCCATAACAATTGGTCGAATAAAAGGTAAAAATAATATAATAGGGTGACACTGCCAGCAGCATCTCCAGGATGAGAACTGCTGGGGTGTTGCTATAGTTACAGTGATGGGTGTTAACGGCCTGCCTGATATTGTCAGTGCTGCTGGTAACTGCTGTGGAGAGTTTTGTTGGGGGGGAATAAAATGCTGATTAGAGAACTAAACAGGTCGAGAGGCACCAATAAATTATGTAGCATTCCATACAGTTAGGCCTGCCACAATTATTACACAACCGCCTAATCACAATTATCTGAGATGATCATAATTATTTAATAATTGTAACTTCTATCTAGAAAATCTATACCTGCACATATAGATTGACATCTTGTACATGTTCTATCCATATCTTGTATAATCTGGAATATATATATATATATATCCCCTGTGTACCCTGCATCTCATTTATCTACCTTAGACTAACATATTGCATATATGGACATGTGTACAACTGTACTTATCATAGCTTTTATTATTCACAAATTATATTGTTGTAGAAAACTGTATATTGGAATGGTGCAACACTGGCGTACTAATGTGTATATGTATATATATTTAGAGTCTAATGTGTATATATATATATATATATATATATATATATATATATATGTATATACACACACACACACACACATACATATATATATATATATATATATTTTCACAGACATACTGCAGCAAAGAAAAAGTGAACTGGGTGTGTTGAGTTAAGGCAAATCATTGTAAATATAAGGCAGCAAATGCATTAACTGAGACATCATGGGGCTTATGAAAACAAAAAACTGCTATAACATGTTTAGAGGGCAGCATAATGCAGAATGAGTACACATAATTCTGTGAAACTCTAGACATTTCTGTGATTTGATTGGACAGTACAGCCAGTGTTAGCTACTGTAAGTAAGGAAGTAAGCGAGCAAGGTGGCCACACTATGCCTGTGTTTTAACAGCTGCAAAATTAAATAGTTAATCGCAATTATTTATTTGAAAATTAATCGTCAGATAAAATTTCATGATCGCAACAGCCTCAAATACAGTGAGCAGCACAGAGTGGCTACTGTCAATTGAACCACCACCTCCCCTGATTTTGTTTGAAGCGTGGCCTGCCTGCCTAGGCGGGGCACTGAACCCCAGTCTGTTGCATAGGAGGCAGCAGGATCACCCAGTATGATTATGAGTGGAATATATCATAGCTAAAAAATCAAAACCGCACAAATTGCTGTCCCCTAATGGTTTAATGTTATGTTCCGTATGGGTGGCAGTGAATTCATATAGTTTAGAAGCTGTGAATTTATTTTTACACCATTTAGTATCTGTTAATTCTCTCTCTCTAGCTTTATGACGTCATGGAGTGTCTGAAGGATTTAGGTACAGTGGTTCTTATTTATGCAGAAAACGGAGACCTGATTGCTGAGGTGAGGTCAGATTCTTGTGTTGTGATTAAACAGGCGGGTGCCGAACTAAAGGAAAAATGGATGAAAATGCTGAGGAGGCCCAGCTGACCTTGATTTTGGATCAATATGGCAAAAGGAAAAGATATAAATGACTTTGAAAGAGTGTTTATTATTGGGGTGCGGATGCTCATTAAATGTGAGCTACTATCAGTTGAACCCACCATCTCCCCTGATTTTGTTTGTAGCGTGGCCTGCCTGCCGGGGCGGGGCACTGAACCCCAGTCTGTTGTATGTAAGGCAGCAGGATCACCCAGTATGATTATCAGTGGAATATATCACAGCTGAAAAATCAAAATTGCACAAATTGCGGTTGCTGCTAATGGTTTTAATGTTATGAACTGTACAGGCACCAGTGGATTTACACAGTTTGGAGGCTGTGAATTTAAGGGCTGCTGTGTGTAGAGTCTGACACCTATGTTTTCATCAGATTCAGAGATAATGATCTCCATCGCCTACACACTCCTCACACATCAGCCAAAGCACCAGAATAACACAATATAGCTCACAATACAACCCATAACAACTGTACACGCACACACACACATACATTTATATATAAAACCTTCATATTGCTGTTGTGGGGAGGGAATGTTTTGACTGAGCCGTCAGGGGAGAACTGAGTGGTTCTAATGAAGCAGGTAGTTTTTGTGCATCTGTGTTTACTCCAGCAGGCTCAGAGCTGCGCTGTGATTGAAGCCTGCGCTCGCTCACCCGCCCGCCCGCCCGCCCGCTCGCTCGTTCTCCCACGTCTCAGAGCCGCTGATACACTGATAGAGCTGTGACAGCTCGAGAGAGGCACACAGAGGAGGTGCTTTCATACGCACAAGCCTATTAGGAGACAGACTGGATCTACAGGGACATGGGGAGAGGGAGAGAGACACAGAGAGAGAGAGGGAGAGAGAGAGAGAGAGAGAGAGACAGAGAGAGAGACAGAGTGGGAGTAGTGTGTGGGAGAGAGCTGCTACCGGTTGACAGAATTAATATTTACTGCAGCTTCATTTTTCCACATAGAGATTTCACTCCTGCTTTGGCTGTACATTTCTGACCTCACAATGATTACGATTCCTAATGAAATGATGTACTGCATTGTGAAACCTCACGTGACCACAGTTTGATTCAATTAGAATATTGAAAAATGATTTATAATAAAAAAAATTTTCTCCACTTTTCCCAAACGATCCACCACACATAGACTGACATCTATTGAACATTAGGTTGGGCACAACTCTGTGGATAACCTCTCATTTAAGCAAGTAGCCATAATAATAATAATAATATAATAATAATAATAGGCAAGGCAAGTTTATTTATATAGCACCTTTCATACACGGCTGTCAAAATGCTTTACAAATGAGAAAATAAAGCATTGTTTAAAAAAGTAAAGTAGAAGCAAATAGAAAAACAATTAAAAACAACATTAAAATATAATTAAAACATGATTTAAACAAAAAAAATTAAAAGAGAAAATCATGAAATTAAAAATCAAATTAGAAATGAAATTAGGATAGTCAAAAAATCAAATAAAATAATTATAAATAATTATAAATATAATTATTATTATTATTATTATAAAAGTAATAATAATCATCATCATCATCATTATCATCATAACTACAGCCCTACTCACAGCAGAGCAAAAATAATATTAGTGAAATTCCAACAGCTGTTTACATCAGAACTGCAAACACATTTAAGGCTGAACACACTGTCTGTGTTTACATGCAAAGATTTTTGCCAATCTGATTGAAAACATTCCGATTATAGATTCAGACTGAGGTGTTTATTCTCACTCTACTGAACAATCTGATGGAAAATCTCACTAAATGCTCACTACAAGTAATCCGATCCAAAATTACACGCATATGTAAAGAACCACTTAGTGTGGACGTTACCATGACAACCAGCATCACGTGAGTCCAGTCAGAGTGAGATGAGCAGCAGTGAGCAGCGCTTGTGTTTTTAATTACTTTAAAATGATGTCAGACTCAGGAAAACGTCCTTCACACGTCCTTATTAAAGAAGGCCGAGAGGAAGACGTCGTGTTCTGAGACACATAAGCTGGACGTCCGTCCCACCGCCGTCTTTTAAAGATCAGAGCATAAACTTCGTCTCCTCTGCAGACCAGTTTCTGCTCCGCCATGTTGAACGGTATAAACTTTCACTATGACGCGACGAACATGATCAGAACGGACTTAAACTTTCTGATAGGGAATGTAATCAGATACAGGCGTTTACACGGATATTATTCTTCTATTTAACGGATTATTTACAGGATCACCCACCTCGATCAATCAGATAGAAACTGTATTCTGAATGTTTACAAGCATGAATTCTACTCATAACAGATTATCAGGCTGTATGTAAACGTGGCTATTGTCACTGATGTGAAGCTGCTCTTGTGAAGTGTTAAAAGCTATTTGACAGCTAATGGCGCCCCCCTGTGGAGAATCTGTAGCCTGCGAAACATGAGTTCCTTGAAGTGCTTCAGTCTAAAAATAGTATTTTATATATTTAATATCTTAAAAAGCTCCTTACGGTGATGTAGTTTTGTTGGTACAGTAGCCACGGCTTCACACGTTTCCCAAACAGTCTATACATTTTACACCCAACACTGAGAGCGAAATTACTCCTCACTCCTCATGTCTGAAGCATTTTTACAGTTTAGCAGTCCAGGATAGAGTAGTATAAGTTATTTACTCTCCACATGGACGAACACGGTTCAAGCTCAGCAAAGGGCAGCACTTAATGTTGTGTTTATTGCGGGTTAAAGTCACGATAATGATAAAAATATGATTTCTCATGCAGCCCTAACTCCTGGCCACAGACAGCTGTGGCATCGCCTCACTAGGGATGTGCAGGGCACTCAAGTTCTCCG